AATTTAGAGCAGTGAAGTAGTACTCGTGTTAAAGACGTACGATTCTTTATTATCTTATTCAAAGTTAATCTCCACCAAATTGGGGAGAGCCATTTATCGTTGAAAAGTATATGGTAGGAGCCTCCTAACTTTTTAATATATAGGGTCTAAATCTTATGCCTTCTATAAATGTCTGCTACCTCAAGAAGTATTATATGTAGTTAGCTAAGCCATTTTGCAAACACACAAAAACCAAATGGTCAAACTTTTCTCATTAGTCCACTATATTTTAGTAGCCAAGTCAACTTTTATAAATGATCTAGCTTAATGAGTCAAAGGCTTGAGCCATTCATAACTAGTTCAATGAGATCATGCAACATAATTGGTCAAACTATTATTCCATTATCTAAATGAAAAGTTGATTTGCTCATAATACTCTCCTCTTTGACCATATATTTCTATAGCGCATAGTAGTGCTCTATTGTCGATTGTGTGGTAAGATGCACTCCCGCCCTATTAGCAAGGGATGGCACATGATATCAAAATTGCCATCTTTATATGTTCTATGGATGAGCAATAATGCATAGCACGTTGCTATCATAATGCATACTACTTTAATTTATTTGATTTATTACTTAAAATTAATACTACAACAACAGGTCTTTATCTCACTACATGGGGTCGGTTAAATGAATCCTTATTCTTCATTGTGCTCATTTGAGTGTCATTTTTCATTTAATTCTAATAAATTAAGATCATCTTTCATGCAATATGCCTATGTCTTTTTAGGTCTATCTCTATCTTTCTTAACATAAGTTAAATCTAAAACATGTACTCTTCTAACTAGATCATCAGATCGTCGACGTTTAATGTGGCTGAATCATCTAAGAAGACTCTCTAATCCTGTCCGCCACTGGAGCTACTCCAAATCTTCCGTATTTGTTTCACATTTTTACTCTAAGTGTAAAGTCACTCGTCCACTTGAGCATTCTCTCTCATCTTAGCAACTCTTAACTTAATTTTGTGCTTCTCTTTTAGAGGTCAACATTCTGCACCATAAAATATTGTAGTCTTACCACGAGCTTATAAAATTTTTCTTTGAGTCTAAATATTACTTTTATGTCACACAATAGGCCAAATACATTCGTCTACCTCAATCATCGATTTTGAATTATACTATTTACATCCCCATCTATGTCACCATCATTTTAAACAATAAGAGATATCTTAAATTTTCACTCCTTTTATTGACTTGCTTATCCATAGTTACAAGCCCACCACTAGATCTATTACTAAAAAAATTTTATTCCATGTATTCAATTTTAGATCTTCTCAAAAGGAAGCCTTTATACTCTAAAGTTGATCTCCATAATTCGAGTTTTTTTTGAACTCTCTCTAGTTTATCCCCTAGAAGGATATCATCAGCGAAAATCATACTCCAAGGTACATCCTTCTATAGATATTCAATAAGAACAAAAAGATGTGCTTAAAGCCAATCTCTAATGTACTCCAACTGAAATAAGAAAATACTTGGTCTATCATTTTTGTGTTCGATCAAAAGTAACAACTCTAGTATAGATATCTTTAATGACATGAATATAAGCAATATCAAAAACTTTATTTTCTAGAACTCTTCATAGTAATTCTCTTGTAATCTCATCATAAGCTTTTTCTAAATCAACAAATATCAACACCTTGCTTTATTACTTAAAATTAATGTCAATATTATTTTTTATTAATTTATTATTATTATTTTTATTATTATTATTTTGACTTTGCTTAGGCTTCAAAGTAAACGTTCAGTGTTCAGAGAGCTTTGATGCATGCTAGAGGGGCTAAAGCGTCTAGTAACTACCTATAACATGTGAAAGATAAATCCAATAATATTTGAACGAGAAGTTGAATGACTAAAGCACTTGCTGATATAGATGAATGAGATGATTTATATATGATGGTTGATGAAATTTTGTTTTGGACTACTATAAATTAAAGTTTACTAATTTTTATCAAAATTTAAAGATGACTTGTATGCTTAAAAGAATAAAGGCTAAAGGGCTGTTGGATATATTTTTTATCCCGATTTTCATTACCATAATAGTCTATTTTTCATAAATTCTTATATATATTTACCTATATCATTATAAATACATTTTTTTAATATTTTATGGTATGTTTAAAAGAGCATGCACTATGCACATGGCTACAAGAGACCTTTTAAGTCATGATGTGTTATCTGTCAAATTTTCATTAACAAGTATGTCTAACAACAATCTTGAAGGCTGAGACAATTTTATATAAACCCCCTTTAAATCAAATTAGCTGAGTTTCATAACCAAAATCTTGAGGTTATTGAATTGCTGATTCAAGAGTCGAGTTGTCTTGTTGATTCAACAAGCTCTGGAAGTTAAGTTGGCATAAACATTCAATGGTTCAACAAACATAAGGTTGCCTATTCAATAATCCTAATGATCGAGTCATCCTCAGCTCACAAGCAGCAGGGCTGAGTCATCACATCAATTCGAAAAGCCTAGTAGCTACTAAGTTGGCATGTACACTTGATGGTTCAAAGAATGCAAGGAATCAACGCTCTTTCTTAGTTCAATAAGCCCAAGCTTTGAATTGGTGAATTATCTCATCTCTCTACTCTAACAACTGAGCTATCAAGTCAATTCCACAAGTTCTAATAGCTAAGTTGATATATACTTTTAATGATTCATCAAGTTCAAGGACTGACCGGTCCCCTAGCTAGTTTAATAAACCTAAGGTTGAACAAGTATTCTCATCTCAGGAGGCCATGGGCCAAGCTATCATGTAAAATCTATTAGCATTAGTAGTCAAGTTGGCTTGCCTTATGATGTTTCAACAAGACTAAGGATCGCACCATCTTCTTGCAAGTTCAACAAACTTAATGGTAGAACTAGCACTCAATTCAACAAGTTGAGTTGGCGTAAATGTGTTGGTATAACAAACTTGCTCATGATGCCTGTTTTGCGCAAATCCCCATTGCCATTTACCTCCTGTCTTTCTCCGGCACAAAAGCTCGTGCCCTTGAATTTGTTTTTTTATATTGAAACCTACTCAAGCAACTTCCCAAATGTGATCTAGCTCGAGCTTCCATCTTTCAACCTTTGCCTCTTGATCTTTTGCTCGTCTCGTTCTCTTGCTAACCAACAACACTACTTACGAAAGTCCTCTTTTATGTTCTACCTATAATTCTAGCATAACCTCTCGTTCGTGTACTCTGCTAATTTTGTTGAAGACAACAAGTATGACTTCCTCCAAGATTTAACTTTAATAATGCAAACTGAATCCTTCCTACAAAATTAGTTTCATCGGCTGCATTTTGGCATCCATCTTAAATAGTATTGTAGCATTTTGAATCAAATAAAACTTGCAAAATCTTGTGTATTTGTTATCAAACAGTGATCTCTTTGTTCTTGATCCTCGTTGATCACCTCTTCTGGTGGTGCTTGTGGCCTATTGATGATATTGATTTCATATTTGTCCGTGGTGAACAAAGGGAGAGATTCTTGAGAGAGAAGATCTAAGAATCTTATTTCTAGCACAAAATGCCTAAAGAAATTGTTTATAAAAAAAATGGAGTTTTGATTCTCTATTTATAAATTTTTGGATGCTAAAGGAAAACTCTATATCTTAATCTCATAAAAATAAGAAAAATGTGTTAGTATACTTATTGACACATGGATTTTATGGTCTATACATTAATAAATGCACGTGGATAACTCTCAAACAAAATGATTGGCGGGGAGTCGTTGAATATGAAGATGTTGAAAGCATGTTGGCTAGAGACACGTAACTATTCCCATGAGCTGGGGAAATGATCTTCAAAAGGTGGCAAGTAACCTTGCAAGTCTGATGTGGTTTCTAGAGATTGTGCCTCTCTCATTTGCTCATTTTGAGCTATTGAGCTGGGTTGGACCAATTGAATCAAGTTTTAGCTGTATTCGGGTATACATTTAGTTTTCTGATTCTCATGCATTTTTTAAGGGTAACTTGTGATTCTCTTTTATTTTTGAAGAGTACCTTATGAAAAGAACTAGAAAATTAAGTGAAACATTTATTATTTTTGAACACTAAAGGAGGATCAATAGATTTTACTATCCTTCTTAATTCCTGCATATGGCACAAACACTTTGTTCAACGCTGTAATAATACTTGTTATTTGATTACTGTATTTGTTCGCACCCATATCTGCTTATAAATTAAAGCTAAAAAAACTCTCATTTGGAGCTTTATCTTCCTTCTTCTCCCTTCTTACCATAGCTTTGTAACTTTACTCTCAAACGGGTCCTCAAATGGCTCGAGTCAACCGCAGAGAAAGAATTGGATGGGGCAATCATGAGTTGTGTCAGAATATTTTATATAACTGCAAACAAATTTAGTATAAGAAGTGGAGGTCGAGCCGGCCTACTCGAAAGGGGTAGAAGGGTTAATGGGTTGGTAGAAGAATCCATGTTAATACAGTCATCGATCTCTTTGTGCCAAATATACTCATGCTGAGTCGAGTAGTGTTGGTGACACGTGAAAATGTTATGGCTCAGGTAATCCTGTCCCACTAATATAGGAGAGCTCCTCAATTGCCTTCTGCTATGGTTTAATTGAAATAGAGTTTAGATTATCTTAGAGTCAACTATTTAAGGTTCTAGCTCCATTATGTAGGTGCTTTTGAGATCTAAAAATTGTGCAAAAAATGTGCGTGATCAAATTAATTTTTAACGTTGTTTAACAAATAATCCCAAAATCAATACAAACATCACATATGAAGAAGGTTACCTCCCAAAATTCATTACACTGCTCAAATCCCAGTGACTGAATGCATACTGCAGGAATTAAAAAAAAAGAGAAAAAAATTGAAGTTTATGTTAAAGATGAACGATTACATCATTCAAGTTATCTCATACAGTTTGGAAATTGTTTGATAAAAATTATAATCACACATCAACTCATTTTTCTCAACAACTAACCTCACAAAATTTTGACAAAATGTCTCCCTGTTCCAGCGTTGTTGGTGACACGTGTGTGGCCATGGATGAATGGGTCCTTCACCCCAGCGAACACACTGCCCTTGATGACATCCTTCCTTGTGTGGATGTTTCTACCGCAAATGATTCCTTGTACAGGAGCAGGGAAGTTACCTATAATCTGGCAGACATTGTAAATAATGTCATCAATGGTGTGGTCAATCCCAGTAATCCGAAAATTCAATTCAACCAATCTGGCCCCTTGGTGCCAACACTTTGCAACCCTTTGAACAAAGATCTGAGCAATCGCACTTGCGCCTCCGACGAGGTTACTTTAAGCAATGCATCACAGGTTTGTTCAAGCAACTGAAAATCACAGTTTCTTTAACAAGATGCAACATTGTTTTTCTTTTTAGAAGGATGGAACTTGTTTTACTACTTAGCTTCCAAGAACTGTTTTACAAAAAGGTTACTAAGCTGAAATGCTTATTGTAGAATCATATTTAAAAACTAAAGAGGAATAAGAATAAGTTAAAAGATTCTGTTAAATTATTAATGCAGGTATGGAAGAAATATGAGTGCAGTGCCACTTCCATCAATGGTTTCGAGGTTTGCGCGACCGTTGGACGCATAACTCCTACTATATATGATCAAATGGATGCTGCTGTATCAGTGGGATATGGCTTATACCATTATGGTCCTTTCCTTGTTCAGCTTGAAGACTGCACTTTTGTAAGAGAGACATTCAGTTCTATAAAGCAGAACAATTGCCCAGGTCTCAGAAAAAATACCAAATGGGTGTATGCCGGTCTTACAATGGTTTCGGCAGCTGTCATGCTTTCAACCATTTTTTGGGTCATCTATGCTCGAGAAAGGCGGCATCGGGTTTATGGAAAGCAGAATGATTTTCGTCAAGGACATGCTCTGGTTCTAGACAAGTAGTGTGGCTGGTTTGTTTTTGTGAAGTCTTTCAGTACTTGTTTTGTTGGTGTAAAGAGAATGGTTTTCTTTGTGATGGTGTGTGTTTGGTTGTCAGAGTTGAGTGGAGGGAATTTGATGATTATGTTTATAGCAATGAAGAGCTTGTATGGGAATTGTTTGATCTTAGTAGGGCTTTTAATTACTAGAAAAGGTTTTTTTGTGAATAGCAATACTGCCCAATTTGGTATAAAGGAATTAAAAGTTATGATTTGAAATGGAAATTATTTAGGACTTTGAATTGAAGATAGTATTTATCAACGTATTTGATTGAGAAGAAATTAAGTGAAAAAAAGTATTTTCTTTTTCATTTAGACGATGTTTTTTTAAAGAAAAAAAAAACTCGAAGTCACAACAAGGATATGATCAAAAAAATTTTCAAATTTTCAGTAGGTTTGAGCATGAAATTGTTAATGAGAATACATCTTTTTGACATTTTTGAGGCAAGTATAGTTTTCTACAAAATTACATCACAACTAATTAAGAAATTATATGATTAAAGATTGTAAATTTATACCACCTGAAGTGGTGTAAGTTAGAAGAGAGAATAGAAAGGTAGGGAGGGAAATGGTGATAGAGAAAGAAAGGTTTTTTTATTGAAATAATGAAATACTTTTTTGCAGGGAAAACTATCTTCTGGATTGAGGAGTGTAGGCTGTCAAAGGCTGAGCTGTTGAGTAACTGCTTGCCACTTCAGTTGGAAGAATTATTATGTAGCTCTGCGTGCGGAAGTCAATCCGTAAATACTATGTGTTAATCAATTATTATTATTATTATTTTATTCTAGAGAATATGTTTTAATTTAAAATAAGAAAACGAAACAGTACGGCCTGACCTCTACCCGACTCATCTAGAAAAAAAACGAATATAACAAATACAGATATTGAGGCTTTTGGCGCCCGACGTTCATTCAACATTACATATTCTGAGAGAATTGATATCAAGATACTTGGGGTTTTCCAACGTTTGATGTTCCACCGTTTTCTACTCTACGGTTGAGATTCTCATTTTTATCCGACGTTCATTCAACATTACATATTCTGAGAGAATCGACATCAAGATACTTTGGGTTTTTCCAACGTTTGATGTTCGACCGATTTCTACTCTATGGTTGAGATTCTCATTTTTACCAAGGTTAGACGTTGACATTTTCTCTCTTTTCATGTTCTATTCATTTATTTTTGCTTGTCGACATTTTCTTATTCTAGGGCTCCACATGTCTGTCTGTCTCCCAGTTGAACGACGAAGAAGAAACTGGGACTTTCATACAATTTAAAGTGCAATATACGATAGCTGCGCGCGATCCACTAATTGTCATTTTGGCGAGTGAATCCAAAAATATGCTTCAAATGTGACCCAATTGATTTCCTTTTTTTATAGTGTTTTATTTATTTTTTCTAACTAAAGGAAGTTTTTTTTTTTGTTTTTTTTTTGTTTTTCGGTGCTTTTTCCTAAAAGTACAACCATTTTGTATCAATTCTCCATATATTTTTTGAGCCTAACCAATTTGAAATGGTTTTTTTAATGCTATTCTAAAAGAGTTCATAACTGCAGAGTTTCTCTTTTATATGTCTATATATGTAGAAATACATGAACGTAAATATTTTGTTTTCTTTCCTTGTACAATCATGTGATGTATCTAAATGAGTTTGAATGTTCTCTGGTTTATTTTTTCATCTTGTAAAATTATGTTGTTCATGGATGTACTTTTAGTTTTTTTCTATATCGTTTTTTTTTTCGATAATACTTTTTATTATTTTTTTGTTTTACATACAAAAATATTTTTCTTTTACATTTTATACATGACTTATTAATCGGATCTTATTTTCTTTAGTGAATGTTTTCCCATTGAGTTTTGTTTTCATTGAAATCATCCCTCAATTTTGTTTTCATTTTTTGATGAATTTAGAATTGAAAACACAATGATTAGTACAAACTTTATAGATGTGATCTTTTCTTGAGGATTTTATTTATTTCAGTACAATCATATTGTACATGGTTGTACCGAATATTTTTTTTGTCGAGTTTTTTTCAATAAAATCATCCCTCAATTTTGTTTGTATTTTTGCATGAGTTTAGAATTGAAAACTCAATGATTAGTGCAGAAGTTATAAATGTAGTCTTTTTATGTGGATTTTGTTTTCTTCGTACAACCATGATCATGTTGTACATGGTTGTACCGAATATTTTTCTATCAAGTTTATTTTCATTAAAATATTCTCTCAATTTTATTTACATTTTTTGATGAGTTTGGAATTGAAACCACAATAATTAGTGCATAATTTATAAATTTGATCTTTTCTTGCGGATTTTATTTTCTTCGTTAACTCTATGTTGTACATGGTTGTACCAAATACTTTTCTGTAGAGTTTTGTTTTATTAAATTTATCGCTCAATTTCATTTGCATTTTTAGATGAGTTTAGGGTTGAAAACCCAAATGATTAGTGCATAATTTATAAATGTGATTTTTTGTGCGAATTTTATTTTCTTCGGTACAATCATGTTATACATGATACCAAATGTCAAAATATTTTTCTGTCGAGTTTTGTTTTCAGTAAGCTCATCCCTCAATTTCTTTTGCATTTTTTGATGATTTTATAATTGAAAACCCAATGATTACTACAAAAGTCTATATTTTTACTTTCTTATTTATTTTTTTCTTTTATGTATAACTTTAATTTAATGGTTGTACCTTCTAAATTTGTATTCTCATACTTTTTTAACGTTACAACAACATTGTACATAGTTGTACTTTTTTTTTTTCTTGCTATTATTTTGTTATGGAGAGACATGAATTTTATTTTCATTGTGTATATTTTCTTAATTTAACAAGCAATGGTTAGACGGTGGTAATAAATTTAACTTTTTTTCTTCTTTTGTGTCTTATGTACAACCATTTATTACATAGTTATATATATGATTTTTTTTTATCTGGATCTTATTTTTTTTGGTACAACTCAATGATTTAGGTAAAAATATTTTTTTTTACTTTTTATTTTATTTTTTTCTTGAGTACATTGATGTTGTATATGGTTGTACTGAGTTTTTTTTTTCCTTTTGAATTTTTATTTTGTTTCTTATTTTCTTCGGTACAACAACGTTGTACTTGGTTGTACCATGTACTTTTTTTTGTAAGGTTCTTATATATTTTTTGGTTTATTCTTTAAACATTGTATTTATAAACTTTTAATAAAATGACCAACAGACAAATTACTTCAAGAGCCAGCTCTCAAGGTTTCGAGAAGTAAGTGATGAATTTTCATAGGACATCCTTGAGGATGTTGCTGATATAATGAGGACTCCATGTATTTATCACATTGGTAAGGTTCCACCAATCCAATTAGATGTAACACTTATTGTCAAATGCTAGAATGTTCAGAGGCAATCATTCTTTGTCAG